ATATATATATATAACGAAAAAATAAATTTTGGTGATTTTCAATTATAGAAAACAGCCTAATAGTTACTAAAAAAAATTTATTAGGTTAGATGTTCGGAATTATATTTGTACTAAAATAAGAAAAAAATAGTTTGAAATAATCTTTTTCATTCAAAAATTAATGAATATCTGATTTTGTTAATTAAATAAATTTAAATGATGAATAACTGTTTTCTTAGATCTGAAAATAACTGTAAGTAAGTTAAAAATTGAAAAATTATTGATTGGAAGATTTTATCTTTAACGCAGAAAAAGGCACCGATTTTTCATGTTGTATTTCATAATCATAAATTATTATATTGCTACATATAATATTTTCACTTATTTTGACTTAAATTAATACAGAACAAAGAAAAAGCATGAATATTATGTTTTAAAAAAATTTCTGCTTCAAAGGATGACTTTTAAATAATTATTTATATATTAAATTTTTGTTTGTGAAATCAAAAAAAAAAAAAAAAAAATTATACTTTTAACACAAGTTTTCAAATGTACAAGTTTTTGTTACTATTTCTAACTATATGAACATACAAGTTTTTATATTTTGATAATTTTCTGCTATTTACAGCTGTGTTAGCTCTTAGAAATAGAAAATCTTGTTTGGTTACTTCGGCTCAGCTTAAGAATTCTCCGAAACAAGAATCGAACGAAACTGAGGATATACCTTTATTAGAAACGCCACCTGAATTTCATAAAGCAACCCACATTCAGCTTTTGCATTCTGATACCGAGACAGAAAATAACAAAATTAACAATGAAACTATCCAAAATAGATCAGATGTGAAATTGATTGATTCAACCGAAACTAGCAACAGAACTCCAACTTCAAATTATTCAAAACTGTTAAATATAAGAGAATTTAAACCATTAATTATAGAACAATCAACAGAACCGTCAATTTCAGGAACTTACATCAGAACTCAAGAAGCCTTGAATGGTTCAAATTCATTAAATACGGAAATAAAAACTATAAAAGAATTGAAAGCATCAATTACAGAGCAAACAACAAAATCATCAACTACAGAAGTTAATAACAGAACTCAAGAAGTCTTGAATGATTCAAATTCATTAAATACAGAAATAAAAGCTATAAAAGAATTGAAAACATCAATTACAGAGCAAACAACAGAGTCATCAACTACAGAAGTTAATAACAGAACTCAAGAAGCCTTGAATGATTCAAATTCATTAAGTACAGAAATAAAAACTATAAAAGAATTGACAGCATCAATTGCAGAGCAAACAACAAAATCATCAACTACAGAAGTTAATAACAGAATTCAAGCAACCTTGAATGATTCAAATTCATTAAATACAGAAATAAAAACTATAAGAGAATTTAAACCATCAATTCAGGAGAATTCACCAGATTCACCTCAAAACCCTGAAAATGCTATTGAAGAAAATTCTTCCACTGCTGTTGTAAAGATTTTAACACCAGAACATAAAGGAGAAATATTCGAAAATAAAATTGCAACTATATTAAAAGCTAAATCCAAAGAATTGGACTCTCATATATCAATTGATGCATCTTTGGAATTTGATACGTCCAGTGAGTTTGAGCAAAGCACTTCAATTGATACATCCAGCGAGTTTGATGAAAATGTATCGACTGACACAGGCAGTGAATTTGACCAAAATATTCCATTTGAAATATTCAGTGAGGTTGGCCAAAATATTCGAAATGATACTTTTGTTAAGCTTGTTCAAAAAATTTCAAATGACAATTGTGATTTATCAGTGAATGACATTACTTCTTATGAGCATGACAATTTTCGACAAAATACTTTCGACATAGACAGTTTCAATGAATCCAAAAGCAACATATACACTGAAGAGCGTAAACAGACATATTATCAAGAGAAGAAAAATATAACCAAATCCCTGGCCTTTGATAGTGTTGACGAATCAACATTTGACAATAAGTCCAAATCGCACAAAATGTTATGCTCATTTAATAACAAAAACGAATCTGTTACACCGGAAATAGGCATAAGCACAGAATCGCTGGACAAGAACAATTCGATAGAATATGCATCATCACATTCAATGTCCAAAGATTCAACCACAACTGGGCAACCTTTAGAAACAAACAAAAGCAATATAATAAACTCTAACCCTGTTCAAGACACAATTGGGAAAGTTAGCTTAGAAGACTACATAAAACTACAAAAATTAAATGTTCAAATAAAAGAAAACAATTCGAACGTTGTTGAATGGAAAAATGTTTATAAAGTACAATATGGCATTGACAAGAAAGTTGCTTCAATTAAAGAGGATAAAGGGACCGATGCAGCAACAGACTTACCTGACTTGAGTTTAAATAAATGCACTTATGATAAAACTGAAAGTGAAATAAAGCTGTCTGGAAAGAAGAAAGACGGGAAGTTAATGTTTAAAGAAGATAAAATGAAAGATTCAAATTATTTAATAGAAGATGATTACGGTAGCTTCACTGATGAAAATTACATTATTTCTGGGATGAGCTATAAAAGTTCCGATAGTATAGAAGCTAAAGCAAAGATCGCGGAAGTTTCATTAAGCGAGCAACTGCCCTTGCTTGATAACTCAGCAAGTTTGTGTGTGAAATCTAATGAAAACGTTAACAAGTTAGAAACTGAAAATTTAAATTCCTCAACCATAACTGAGAAGTTTTCCTCAGGTTTAGAAGAAGGCATAACTGAACACAAACAGAGTTCAGAATTGCAAAATTTTATGTCAGATTTGAACAACGAAGGAGAAGTTGAAGTTACTGAGAAGTTGCAAGATAGTACAGAGAATATTCCAAACTTATCAGTCGAAAATAGTTTAATTCCTGATGCGAATCAAAAAGATTGTTTTAAACCAAGTACTGAATTAGTGGAAGCGGATTTTTCGCTTCTTCACCAGCTTGAAAATGATTACATTTTGAATGAAAAACAAACGGTGCTGAATCATAGTAAAACTTTTAATCAGGAAGAAAACTGTTTAGCAACGAAAACTTCTTTTACATATCAAAAACACAGCAATGTTCACAAAATTTTAGATTATACGCCTCTATCAGATTCTATTGTTAATAAATTTCCTCCTAAATCTTCATTGAATAGTTCAACCCAAAAAAGTCAACGTTTTGTAAAAGATGCTTGCCTTTTACAAAACACTGATAATTTTCAAGGTATGGGAAGAGAAACAAGAAATTCATTTGAAAATAATTTAGAAGACGATGAATTGGAAGGTTCAGTTACGAACTTTGATAAGGAAAATTTTTTTTCCAAAGAGTTTTTGTCAGTTTGGAATAAAAATGTACCTGACTGTGAAGAAATCACTTTAGAAACTGAGTCTAAAAATCAACATAATTCCACAGATAACTATGAAGATAGTGAAATCGAGGATTCTCAGTTTAATGACTATGAAAATCGTTTGCAAGAGTATTTGAATATTAAAATGTCTGAAGAGCAGGCTAATTTAGACAGCTATTATGAGCATTTCAATACATCAGATATTTGCTGTAACCAAAATCTTGTAAATGTAAGTTCAGTGTTCTATAAAGATTTTGAAGCAGTAAATCTAACTGATGAACAAAAAGAAGAAAAATATCGGGATACTGAATTATTTTCCCAATGGGAAGATACTTACGATAATACTGGAATTTACGGTGAAGCATTTCCCACCATGAGAGAGCAAGATCCCTTAAATCTCGTGACTTCTTTGGATATTTCTGATCGTGAAAATAAAACGATACAAAACAGACTACAAACTTCAACCAAAATCAATGATCATAATGCTTTTAGCAAGGAATTCAATGATTGTTTCGAATTCATAGGTGAAGATTTGAATACTTTAGAGAGGCATTATGAAACTGGTAGAAATTCAAGAGCATTTAATATTGAGGAATTATGTTTCTGTGAAGAAAATGTCGGATTCAAGTCTATACTAAGTGATGGAAACAGTCGTCTCCAAAATTATTTAAGTGAAACAAGTATCTCGGGAAGAACAATGGGAAGACAGGCAACGAAGTCTCAGAGCACTAATAAAAACTCAACAGGAGCAGATTTAGGAAACCCAAGACTCAAAAGTCCTCTTAGTGGGACTGCCTGCCAAGGAGGAAACCTCCCTTTCAGCTCAGAAGAACGCTTCTGCGAAAATCAAGAGGAAGAGTCTCGGCTAACTTTACCTGCCAATGACCAGAAAGAACTTTTCGATCCCGAATCTTCTTGTTTGTCTGCTCTTAACTGTAGGTAAGTAAACTTATATTTAAAGCAATATAAGAAATCCTAGATATTATTTTTTCCAAGAAATACCACATACAAATAGCAATTATTTGAATTTTTGTAAACTTTTTTTTAAAATCATCTATTTTTTAAACCGTTGTATTTTATTTACGTCGCACTAGAGCTGCACAATGGGCAATTCGAGACGGTCTGGGAAACATCCCGACATGCCATCACAATTTTTATCCTCTGCCGAGGGGATGGCAATCCCACTTTGGTAGCCCAATGGCCTGAGCGCGAAGTCGATCACTTTTGCGGTAGAACAGTTTAACGAGGACCAATACTGCACATTCTCGATCCCTACGCAGACTAATCCAAGTGGTCACCTACCCGCACACTGACCACAGACAGTGATGCTTGACCTCGGTGTTCAAATGAGAACCGTGTCTTAAGGATCAGTCCACGGTGGAACTAGCTTTTAAACTGAGATTAGGGTTTGTTTTCCCATGTTATTCAATGTAGCGAATGTGCTTGTCAGAGAAATGTTTGTACTAATTTACCCAAGTAAAAAAAATGAATAGTAGTAGAATTCATAGAAATTAAAACTCCACGATATTAGCATCAACTGCAGGATGGCATTATGGTTAGCATTACGCCGGAGCCGCCTCTACTTCCCACACTAGCTCAGTTCGATCCCCACTGGTCGAAGACTCCCCGTGTAGTAAATAGTGACTGGTGCACGTAAAATCTGTCGGGTCACAAAGCCCCCCACGTTACCATAACAAATCATACCTTTGGGGGTACTGAATTGGAGATAGATTGTTGTCTGGTTAGGTCACAATTACGATTTGAGGATGAAGGAATGAATCTGCCCCATAAACCAGCAGGACTCGTGTGGCTGAAGTCGTATTCTTGTTCATAGATGGCGCCACCGAAAAACAAAAAACGTACTCTCTGCCGTAAATTCGCTTGGCTTGCTGGTACTGGCAAGTGGCATTTGAACAACACAAGCTTAAACTCTTTGATCTGAAGTTGGTTCAATATCAGACTGCCATTGAGAATTAGCTTCAATCCTTCACAATGCCTTTTACCAACTGAGCCATCAGGGCTCTAGGATTTTCGAAATAGATTATACTAGACTAAAAACAATTTTGAAGATATCAGTAGCAAGAGATCCATTGAATGTCAATAAAAATATCTATTTTGCCGTGTTATTATAATCTNGATCCAACTGAGTCATCAGGGCTCTAGGATTTTCGAAATAGATTATACTAGACTAAAAACAATTTTGAAGATATCAGTAGCAAGAGATCCATTGAATGTCAATAAAAATATCTATTTTGCCGTGTTATTATAATCTGTTTTCTTTTTTTTTTTCACAGTATCTTTGGCATTTCATCGTCTACTTCATTTGACCATAGAGTTACGCCTCGAATATTTGACTTAGGTAAGTTGCCACATGCTGATATAATATTTTATACTAACTTGATACTCAGTTTTGATTTGCTATAACGACTTATCAAATGTTTTTTCCTTTTTTTCCTAAAGTAATGTAGAGCATGAATAAGTAGATATCTTTTTTTAAGGATGTTTTGTACTACCATAAAATTGTTTCTTTAAGGTTTCAAAAATAATGATTCATCAGAAGAAGAATTTGGAGAGGAAGTAAGTATTAATAATTTAAATATCATCCGGATATGGTTATTTGGTCTTGCATTGATCCTGTTTCTTTTTTCTGTATATTTGTCATAACAATAGCAGTTCCCTTTATTATGGGTGTAAATGACAATGCTTATTGCATAACTTAACGTTTTAGTAAGATAAGTAATGAAGATGTTGTACTAAAGATAACATAACTATTGTATATATAGAACAAATAATCTTTTACCAAATTTAGTAAATATAAATATTAGAAATTAAGAATACGTTAATGATTAATATAGAGTAATGCACCAATGATAAACATCTATTTGTCTGGCTCATTTCATTACATAATCATTTATTAATAATCAATTGTTGAATTTTTGTCATATGGCTACTTGATTGAAAAGCTAATAAAATTTTTTTTCCCTTCTTTAAGTAAGAAAAAATTAATTTTTAAAAAAAATATTACGATATATTTTATAAGATTCATATAAAGATTACATTATGTGTAATCTTTATTTCATGACACAATTCTCAAGTTAAAAGACAGATTTTATTATAAAGTTTTAATTGATTCGATGTCAAAGATAATATAGTAAGTCTTACACTAGTTTTATTTTTTAAAAGATATTCAAATTTTAACAGTAAAATTTTATTCTCATCTACTTACTATGAAAATTTTTTTTTAAAACGTGATATAACACGTTTAACAATGATACATGACAACACGTGATAAAGGAATATGTTAGTTTTTAAGATTTGAGAAAGTAGAGTGAAAAAGGGAAAGAACTAAGACATTATGTTTGGCCAGACCTATGTAAATAGTTAAGTAACGAAAATGGGCGCCTATTTTTGAGCGCTTGAATCATGACGATTGTTTTTTCCAATTTGTACATTTTTGAAGTTTTAAATCAAGTATTATGTAAATAGTATATTTTAAAAACTGAAAATACAATTCTTGATGTAAAACTTTTATTCAATGAAATTTTATTTACTATATAAAATATATGCACTGTATTTTAGGATGAAGCGATACTTCTTGATGAACAAGTGAAAAACATGTTAGTACCTGCCTATAAAGAAAAGTCTAAGTTTGAAACTTCTAACGCTGTACATAATGAGCAACTTTTTGAGCGAAGGCTTATTTCGAAGAGAAAAGACTCTCATAAAGATGATAACCATAAAATAGCAGTTGAAGATCTCGATTAAAACAAGAGTTTAAAAAATTGAAATAAAGCTCAGAACAATATATAACACTCATAATCAGAGCCCGTGAGTAGCTAAATATATATATATATAACATCCGTTATGCCGTTAAAATTTAATTTTAAAAAAAAGTTATCTACTAAATTTTATATAAAAAATTTTAGCACCTTACGCACTGCAAAATACTATCCAAAAATATTTAGTTAAGAGTGGCATTAAACTAAGTTAGAATCATATATTTAATGCCAAAAATTTTCACCACACAATACTATTATAGTTCTATCTTCTTATTTACTTTACATTGTTTACCCAAACAAGCCGTTCAAATAAAACAAAATTTATGGATATACATTAAAAATTACTTTTTATTCAACAAAGTTTGGAGGAATACAAAATATTTCAACTGATGTATTTGTTGATGATTCAGAAAACGTAGTTAGTCTGAAACCATTATTTTTAAATTAAAAAATATTGTTTTCAAAAACAATGATTATTTTGTTAATGTGTGTAAAACTTAATAAAATATATATTCAATACAATAACTTGCCATTTCTTTTTAAATATTTCCATGATTTAATTCTTAGTTCATAATTTTCTTTTTATCCAATAACTTCGAGTTTCTGTTAATTGAAAGAACATTGGCAGAGTATACATTTTTTCTACTTTTAGAATGCAAAATAATTCCACTTCTAAGCAACGAAGAATTAGTCGCTTTATGATTAATGAGTGAATCACACTGAATTTTTGCTATACAGGGGTTTATAAAAGTTTGGAAACGGTCAAGTATCTCGAAAAAAATATAGATTGGGTAGCAAAACCGAAATTAAACACATTCAATAATTTTAAAATCTATCCAATGATACTCGATCATTCACTTTAAAGCAGGGGGGCAATTTCGAAATTTTAGATATGAACCCCTATTTTTTATTGTAGATTTGGATTCTTCAGAGAAAAAAAACATATTAGAGTTGTAGGTTTATGCCTTTTGCTTCACAGATGATGCTGTAACAGAGAAAATGAACTGTTACAAGCTGTTTAGTGGTGATAACTAAAAACCTATATAGAAGGAAAATATAAGTAAAAAATCTAAAAATAATTTAGCATTTTTTAAAAAAAATAAAATTTTAACACGCTTTTTTTTTATTTTCTTATGATGGGTCTTGAAATTAGCCATTTTGAACAGCTTGCATCCTGTTTAATATTAATCGGTTACAGCGCTGTGGAGCAAAATGCATACATCAACAACTCAAATAAGGTTACTTATTCCTCGAAAATCTCAATAAACACTAAAAAATAGGGATTCATATTTAAGATTTCAAAATTGCCTACAAAATATGGGAGTGTGAGATCAAGTTTAGAATTATTGGATAGCTTTTTAAAAAAATAATAAGTGACTATTTTCCCTTTTTCGATCCAATGTATATTACTCATTATATCATTTAGATATTTGATCATTTCTTAACTTCTTTTACACTCATATAATCCTTCATTTTATCTTTGCTTGTAGACTCGCCAGCAAAAAAAAAATAAATTGCAACAAATTATTTTTAAAACGTGAATACGAAGGACATGATTTTTGAATCACGTAAATATGAATTGTGATGGATGATTTCATATATATCTTGAATACAAATCACAATGTATACGAAATATGGTCACAGTTAGGATGCTTGATGTGTTCGATTCCAAATTTTGAAAAGAAGAAATATTTTTGAGAAAACTAAGATTTTTTAAAAAGATAAAAAAAAAACTGTTTGCAGTTATGGATAAAAAAAGAAGTTAACAAATCGTCTAAATACAGAAGATAAGGAGATAGTATCAAAATATAGGAGTTTCTCTCTAAAAACAGTATTACTGGTATATATGAAGTTCTTTGGAAGGAGCTTTTTCTCTCTTTAAAGGCACAAAAAACAGTGATAATTGTCACTAACAAAGGAAGTAGACCATTGTCATTATTGGCGCATTTTGTTAACAATCTTGTTTCATTGTAACAAGCTAAATTTATATTATTTTTCTAAACTCAGAATTATTCTTCAATATCTACATTCTATTACATAATATTTACTTTTTCGGTTAACAAGAAAAATTTGAACAATCATAAACATTTCAGGACATTTATCAAAAATTTTAAAAATTAAAGATTTCTTCCTGTCTAAAATTCAACCCTATTTGCAGACTGATGTTTAAAAAATAAGACACGCTATCGTTGTGATGAACTTTGTTCAAAAATAAAAATCCACTGAAAATCTCACCAATTCTCTACTTCCCCCTCTCTTTTTTGTGAGCCTTTCAACTTATCAGTCCCAATTTATTTTATTCTATCCGTCGCTGAACAGCTGACCCAATTTTTTTGGTTTACGATTACTAATGTTCAACTCCGTAGCCTTGTAATTTGGAACCAATCCAGAAGACAAGGAAACTCCTGGATCAGTACCCCAAAGGTATTGATTTGTTATGGGAACATGGAGGACTTGCAACTCGACAGATTTAATGTGCATCAGTCGCAATGTGCTACACGGGGAGGCTTCAGTCGGCAGGGATCGAACCCATGAACTCTTGGGCATGGGCACAGTGACAATTGACATCATCATAAAGTTCAACCAGGCAAAAAGCCAAAGTAAATTAGTCGTTAACAGTTACAATATCTGAATTCTGAAGTTGGTGCGTTCAGCTTATTTTGTTGTTTTATGAGGGAAAATTAGCAATAAAAGAAAAAAAAAATCCTTTTCTATTGTATTCCCATACACTAATACAAGAATTGCACTTAAATCACTTTAATAATGAATGGGTCCCTGCATTACAAATACCTTGTTTTAATTGAATATTCAGGTTTGCCACTCAAACCTGGAGAAAAAAAATTCTCTGTTTTCTCTGTACATATTCAGGGGTCTGTCCAGGCCAAATTTACTACCGTTTAATGGTACCTTCACAGATTTTAGGAAAAATGGCAGTTTCACCAAATGCTTTTTCTTAAAATTTTATTTTTGTATTCCGTAGAAAACGATAAATCCATATTTTTGTGTTGATTTTTTGATATAATTTTTAATTTTCACAAAATAGGTACCTCTCAGAAAAACCTAGACAGACCTCTGATATTATACATGATATATTAAGATGAACAAAACAATTACTGTGCTCTTGCGAGAGTTATATTAGGCTAACTGTATTTATAAGTTTTAATTGTTAGAAAAACTTAAGAGAAGAGAAAGAAACAGCTGAATATACTTAAATAATGCTTTAGTAAATGGAATAGTTTAGTATAGCTAAATATCCTAATGTTTGTGAAAAAATAATGCCGAAGTTGCATCTAAAATATTTTTAAATATATAGAAATTCAATAAAAGTGTAAGCAAATTGGAGAAGAAAAAAATAATAAAACTTGTTTCGAAAACAATAAGAAAGCCTTGTCTTAAATTTAATATTAGTAATGTTGATGTAACTAGCAAACAGGAAAATGACAAAATGTTCATAAAATTTGGACATTTTATTTTGAATCTAAAGAGGATGTTACATTTCACTTAAAGGAAAGTAAATAATCCTTTTCGTATCTTTTTTTCTTTCTTTTTGAAAACAAAGTGTCAACATAAATTTTATTTTACAATAAATACAAGACACAAATATGCATACGTCAACATATTGCTGGAGACTTGAATTGGAAAGACAGGCTAATGTAAAATGATAAATTAGCTTGTTTAACAGAGAATGCAATTCAAAACTCAAGCAGTATAAAACTAAACAGTAATGAACAACATTTATAATCAAATAAAAGTTACGGAAATATCAGCCCTGAGGCTTTTAATGAAATGATATAATTACAATGCTTTGTTGCAGCCAGAGATCTTAACAGATTCCTTGACTTCAAACTTAGTACAAAAGATAAATTGTCCTGAATAAAATAAAGTTCTAGCTTCACGTTTTACCTTGGGAAGCATTTTCCTACAGCAAAGAGAAAACACATAATTAAAAATATATGCAAATTTAAGGATAAATGTTATACAGGAATGGCAATAAAAAAAAAATAGCATTTCTTCCATAGTCACAAATGATTATTTCATAACTTAACTTTTAAAAATTTGCTACTATGATAAAATTGTATTGACAATAAAAAACCTTTGCAGGAGCTAAGACACATATTTGTCGACTAGCAAGTAACAAATTGCAATTTAAAAAAACAAAACAAAAAAAACAAAGGTTAGTTACAAAAGATCACTGCAGCAAAAATTGCTGCAACTTGTTTGGATTTTTGATAATCTTTTAATGTTTTCCCCATGTTTTTTAAAACGTTGAATGCTACACTAATTTTGCATGGCTTGCCCATCTGGCCAAAATGATTTTTGTGTGTTCTGTATTGCATTAATTTCTTCAAACCATTTAAGTAATTATAACACAAAAAAAAATAATAAAAGCACTAAAAATCTACTCGAATTATGTGTTTCTAACAATCTTGGCTTTGCCGGTCACCGGTGAACCCTGTGGCGCTACAAACCAACTCAGTGCCGGTCACCCCCATGGCATTCAACGTGTTAGTCTTTCTGACACATGAATTTCAAATTTGTGTAAAAATTTTTTTCATATACTCAGTTTGTGATGATTCGTTTTGTAAATCTCATTTTTCAATTTGTTTTTGGGAATTTTTATCAATTTTTACAGCCGTTTCAACATAGTTTTTAAAAATTTTTTGCAATTCTTTAATACACTATTCCGACAATCCAATTTGAATTATCACTTCTTGATGTGCTTAATTTATGACTATTCCATTGTTAATTCACATCATTTTCTAGGCATTTATTCTTCATTTCTTTGATATTTTTCACAATGTTTTTGTAAAGTACAATATTTCTAATATAGTATTATTATGACATGTGACTTGACCCTCGCAAAACATCAGTTCTGAAAATGTTCTAAATTCTGGTTGTAATACTGCCTTTATGTATGTTTTTAAGATGTTCACAGAAATAGCAGAAACAAGAAATAATTTTGAGGACATGTTTTTTTTTCCCACATAACAGTTAATACCATAAGGAATTTTTTTTTTTTTACGGACGATAAACACCATGGGAAAAACAAATTTTCCCCAAAACTGTAAAAGCCATGGTATATACTATATACTATTAAAAACCTAACAAAGTAAATACCGAAACAACACTAAAGTAATCACACTTATCAGAATTAATTTTAAATTACTAATATAATTACCTGAGCAGAATCAGTTTTACATACAAGACCTAATTTTTTAGCTTCTATTTCATAAATGAGTAATCTCCACATTTTGACAACAAAAACTTCAGCTTCTTCATCTAATACCTGCAAACAAAAACAAAATATCATCTAATTTGGCGTAAAAAAGTACCCTAAATTTTTAAAAAACTTAAATAAAATTTTTTTAAATTTAGAATACTTTGTTTAAAATTTTAAATATTTATGATGCACATTTTGTTAACAACAAGAAAGATACAGAGAAACCCCTCGGGAGCTACCACTCTCCGTTCCACAGTAAAATGGTCGTTGATGGAGGTTGGTTGTTCTTAGAGGCTACCTGCATTGACTTTACAATCAATTGTTATCGAAGGTAAATGATTTTTCGCAAACTATTTTATTTTTAGTCTGTGTCCTTTTCTTGTTCTTCTATCGGTGTCATGAAAAGACAGATCTATGAATTCGATTTAGCATTGATAAAAATGATCCCTACTGATATAATTATGTCCAAAAACAAATTTACCAATTATGAATGATAACGCAATTTTAAATAAATAATATTTGCTTTTAATTTAAATAAAGTTTGTTTTTAATTTTATATCATAAAATTAGTTAGCTTTAAACTATGAGAAGAGGTTTGTTTGAGATGCCTGCTTTTTCTAAAAATTTTTATTTTTATTTAACTTTCAGCTCTAAAAGTAAATCATTTATAGCCTAGTGCACTCTGACTGCAACACGAGGTTGTATCATCAAAGAGAATTCTCTAAACAAGAGTCTCACTCAAATATTTAGAATACATATTAGTCTACTGATTCTTCCGTTAAATTTTTTGTTTGTTGTGTTTCATTATTTGACCCTTTCTACATTTGGTGGAAATGCTTGCTTGGTCGCTTGGAGAGATTTTCAGTGCCTACTAAAAGTGGTCGCTACATAGAGGTGGTCTTTCTTGGAGGTTTCTCAGTATTATGAAAGTAGTTAGTTGTGGTGATGAAAAGAACTATAAATTATTCAAAATACTTTAAAAAAATTTCTGTATGGTACAGAATATTTCATAATGAATTTTATAAAGATGATTTTTTTCATATTATGATTCCATTACTTTTAAGAAAATTATTTTCTTAATAAAAGAAATTCCTTTGCCTCTAAGTCTAAAAATAAACAAACTAACTAAAATTCTATCTTATAGATACTGCAATTCATACATATCATAGCCATTAAAGCAAAAAAATATGAACCATTTGCTATTATGGTCTGAATCAACCCTTGTTAAAGTATGGGTATGAATAACTCTGTTCAACTATGCACACAAAAGTAACAGGGAATAAAGCTCTCAACACACACATAAATAATTTATTAATTAGAATATGTTCTCGCAGGCCAATTCTAAACATGTTGATAAATCGTCTACAAATAAGTATGAAAAACACATGACATTTCAGTTGAACTCATTTAAAATAAAAGAAAGAAAAGTAGGAAACATCTATGACAAGTATATTTTAACCTGACTATCAATTATTAATTTACTGTATATTAGAGCCTAACTTCATTTCTATTAGTTATAATGTCTCGACTTATTTCAATATAATTTGCTTATAAGTATGAGCCTTTTCAAAAATTGCAGAACAAATACTGATTATTTAAAGAGAGCAATTTTTGCTACAATTTAAGTAATAGTCATAAAAATGGATAGCATCACCACAGAATAAAATTCATTTTCCAGGGTGCGTAGCAAAATCTCTCAATAAAAAATAAGCACCTCTAAAGTACCTTTTAAGCACTCAAAAAATATTTTTAAGCACTAAAGATACATTTAGAAAATGCAAAATAATTTTCCAAAACTTTACATGATTGTGATAAAATGAGTAGTTTCTAACAAAGAACTCTTTTCTTCATTAGATTAGCCACCATAAAAAGATTGAGATTTCTCGGTTTGATTTCAGAGGGTGGAAAATGAAGCTTGAAATTGAGAATATCTTGCAAAATGCAGCAGAGTTGTTGCACATGAGAGTGCAAGAATCCAGCTCAGTAGTCACCCCCAAGTATTTCATCAAATATGTGACATGATGGGCGCTATCATATGTTACGGACTGACAGCATGCCTCAATGGATTGTAGTTAAATAAATTCTGAAAACGTTGAATAGAACAATGGGAAAACCTCGCTTTTGCGTATTACGTACTGAAAATCAACATGAAGAAAAAACATAATAAATTTTCGAAAAGGGAAAAATTAAGCACTTATTAAAAACACTACACACCATGTTCTCATAGATAAACTAAAGCGGAATTACCATTGAAACATCATCCAGGATGCTTTGGGCGGCACTTCCAGCCATTATTTTAGAACATATAAATTCTACTAAAGTTGGTTCTTCTTCACCAATATATTCTACAATCTTTTTATTTATCCAGGGTCGTATCCTCTTTTCCATTAATACCTGGAAGAAAAAAAATAGTTATTAACTTTTTTTAGTTTTTAACTAAGGGGATAAGAATTCAATTTTAAATTAGAAATTATCACAGAATTATTCATAAAATCTCCTAACGTCAGAAAATCTCTNTTCTGCTTAGTTTTTTTTTACTTGCACAAACTCTGCATTGTCGTAGGGGTTTTTTACATTGACCGCTGGTCACTATATTTTTAAATTATACAACCCTCATAAATTAACGATCGTAATTGAAATAAAATTACAAAAGTTTGAAATAAACACAAACAGTCCACTTTTAATTTTTCATTTCAATAAAATCAATTTGTTATTATCTCGTTGCAAATACGAAATAAAAGATAAATATGGATAAGCGTTTTATGCAATACAGATAAGCTTTAAAAAATTTATTTCATTCATTTTATTATTTATATTTCACACTGTTTGTCTTATAGTTCAAAAGCACATCCTAGCATCAGAGGGAATAAGTATTCTAAATGCTTTTTACTAGTTTTTTAATGGCTTAGTTTAAGATATCAGGTTGTTACATATGAAAAAAAAAAAAAAATTTTTTTTTTTTAAGCAACTTTGTCAATCTTTTTTTTTTTAAATAAATGTTCATGAATTGTAAAAAAATAAAATATTATTCTAAAGCTTATTATGTGTTCCTTCTTAATATACTAGAAGTTTTATGCATCATTTTTAGTATCTTTTCTAATTTCTCAACATGAATTATTGCGATTTACATGTTATTTTTCTTTATGAATTCAAAAGTGATCACGGTGGTTCAATAGCATTTCGAAACATTAATGGTACATTTGGTAAAGCCACTGTTAAGGAACGGACAATTCAATGTTGGTTAAAAAAATTTGAAGATGATGAAAGTCTTGAAAATGATCCAGGTGGAATACCAGAGTCAAAGCTTAATGATACAACATTGAGAGCGCTTATGGAAGCTAACTGTTCAAAAAGTGCATTACTGTACAAAAGTACATTTGAAACATTACTGTTCAAAAAGTTGAGCCAGAATTAGGAGCTAATACAGAAGAAGTATCACACCACCTTTAAACCATCGGCGAAATCAAAGAGTTGAATAAATGGGTTCCCAACAAATTGAATGGAGGAAGAAAAAAATATTTTTGAAATGTGCAGCTCTTTGCTTTTACAAAATGAGAACCATTCTTGCACAGAATTGTCCCCTGTGATGAAAAATGGATCCTTTATGACAATACACGTCATTCAGTGCAATGTTTAGATGCAGATGAAAGTACAGAAACAACGCCAAAAGCTCTGCCACACCCTAAAAAGGTAACCATTAAGGTTTAGGGGTCTATGGTCAGAATAATTCATCATAAATGTTTAAATGCTGGCAAAACATTAACAGCAGAAGTAAAGTTATGCTTCAAAAATTACATCAAATGCAGCCGGCACTGGTCAACCAAAAAGGACCCATTTGATTCATGATATCGAATGACCATATGTTTTATCGATTGCAAACAAGCTGGTTGAATTAAAATGTGAGAATCACCACATTCACTGGACATATCGCCAACTGATAATCCCTCTTTTAAGCATTTGGACAACCTTAGTTCCTTAGTCTAGAGCAGATCAAAAATGATTCGCCATCTTTTATTGACACCACAGAGCTAAATTTTTATGAAAGATGTATTCAAAAACTATTAACACGCTGTCAAAAATGTGTATTGTAATGGTTTTTAATTTGATTAATAAAATAGTTATGCTTATTTTTCCAAACAAAGTTATGCCCTTTATTGATTAAATTTATAAACATCAACATTTTTGTATGTTTTGATTATCATCTAGAAAATATAAAACGAAAGTATCTAATTATTATTGAATTAATAATCAGAAAAAAAATATGAATTTAAAAGTACTTATAAAGTGAAAAAAAATAAGCTAATTAATGATTTGTTGGCATAACATTTAAAAAAAATTTGAATGCAGCAAATGTGGTCAAAATTTATTTGTCTAACAAGTGAAGATTTCTTAGTTGTTTAGTTTAAAAACTTTTTTCTACATTTTTACATTAAAAAAATTAATAAACAAAATGTTAAACTAAGCTGGAAAAAATAATTTTTTGCAAATGCAAAGGATAGTTTTGAAAAAATATGAATCCACATCAAAATATATAATTCCAATCACATTAAAAATTTAATTTTAAGAAGACCCTTAATGCTGTTGTATAAAATAAAAACTTTTATACACACTATAAAAACTTTTTATAGCTTTAAAAAAATTCACCTTTATCCATTTAATAGCAGTTATATCAGACCTTCTATAACAAGTTACTGGTGAAAACTCTCAGCTAAATACAGAGTATCTGCTACATTTTAGATTTTCATATTCATGACTAATTCCAAATGTTTTTCATGACTTAACGAAGTTACTATTTTCTCCGGAAAAAAACAACAAATTTGAAGAAGCATTATAACAACATTAATAGGTATAACCAAAACTGTTATATTCTGCATTTTCATAATTATAGATTTTCAATTTAAAAAACAGAGTAAAAAAAAAGAGTTGAAGCAATAAAATAGCTGGGGAAAAAATACAAAAGCAAATAATTATTTTTTTTCGGCAGAATTATATTCTAAAGATACTTTTCTTGTGCATCGGAAAGGAAAGAAATACTCCTGATTTTTCTGTTCTCATTTCGGAATTTTAAAAAAATCACCAATGATTGGCTTGCTTCAGCTAGAATTTTAAAGAGATAAAATAAAAAATAACAAAAATTAAATTCTGAATTCACAGATGTTTAAAAGATAATTGCTCTAGAAATTATGTTTCTTTTATTTATTGAAAGAACACCATAATTTTTAAAGAACACGATTAAAACATTTTATATTTTAATCAGATACAAGATTGCCACAGAATAAAATGAACAAAATAGTTGCTTTTAGTAGCCTAAAGCATGAAAATAGTAGCCAAAAACTAGGAAAATAGTTGCCTAATAAGAACAAAAATTCATCAAAAATATGACTAAAATTTTGTTAATGACTCAATTGTCATATACCATCATCCATTCAGTCAAGTGGATCAGTCAAGTGGTGGCAAATATGATAATTTTCATATAAATGTTTATATATATTATTATATATATATATGAAAAGTTATTACTGAAATTCGAAATTCATGCATTGTAATACCGTTAAAAAAATTTTTTTTTTAAATAAAAAAAATTATGCAGAGTTTTTTAGCAATAATCATTGAAAAGGTGATCGAGAAATGAAATAGACTTACAATGGAATTTGTGCAGATTGAACGAATTAAAAAGTGAAGACTAAAATTTGTAATTCTAAAATTTGTAATTCAAAATTTTTAACACTTTTTTATTTTTTAAGAAAAAAAAAGTTTAGTGTGTTCAGGAACTATCTAGCGGGGCGCAGATTTTTCACCAATTTATGCTTGAAAAAAAAAAAAAAAAACATCTCTAGGAGGACAGAAAAGTCTCCTTTTCTTGAAAATAGTTGCTTTTTTAGCCTTTTCAGGCAAAAAAAGTTGCCATAGTCGCCTCATGCCAAAAATAGTTGCATTTTAGTCGCCTGCAAATATGACTGTGAGTGGGGATTTTGTTACAATTTCAGATATTCAGAACACCATAAAATTGGGGGGGGGGGGATAAATTCCATTTTAAAAATTGTTAAAATCATGACAAATATACCCTGTAAATAAAATTATGAGCTAAAAATAAAAGTTATACAAAAAAAAAAAGAGGGTCCAGAAAACTTACCTTATCAACAACAGTCCAATCTAAACTGTAAGCAAAGAGCTCAATCTTTTCTGTAGGAATCTTTTCAATTAGATTTTTTATATGCTTCCTTTTTTCTTCAAGTGTCATTTGGGAAACAGAATGCGGGCTCTTTGGTCCATCTTCTTGCTGGTCATCTATAGGTATGAGCTTTCGCTTCTTTTTGGTCTCGGTTTCTTCATCGTTTACATTAAACACATCGTCTACAGTAGATTTCCTCTTATGTGGGATGTGATTATTGTTTGTTGTGTGACCAGTATTGTTATGTGTGGGACTTCCACCTAATCTCAAACTAGTAAATCCCATAAGTTTAGGCTCTTCCGGTTGAGCTATGACATCAGAGAAACCAGAGAAGCTATTTTGAGAGATTTCTTCTTCAACCATCACTCTCTCCCTTTCTAATCTTTTCATGGGTATTTTTTCTTCAATTTCTTCTGGCGGTGATGATATCACTTTTGGTACCGGTCTCATTTTGATAGGAGATGGTTGAATGATTTCTTGCTCTGGCTCAGATTCGGGTGTTTCAGGTTTAGGGGGGTCCATAAGACGACTTTCCTCTAAAAGCAGCTGCAATACAATAACAAAAATTAGAAATATAAAACAATTCTTGGTTAGCTGGAGGGGGCAAGCGACTTGAAAATGGGTAACAGTAACTACCAAAAAGTTATTGGATTTACGATGAAATCGGCACACATAAAGAGCGTCAAAAGTGAAAACTGATAATGATGCAATAAAAAGATTGGAATTTTCAAAACTATAAGCAAATCTGTAGTGTTAACTATTGAAAAAAAAAAGGCGACACAAAAACTACATAGATTGACATTGCTTGTACCAAAAACTTAAATGCGTAAATTTTGAATTTGTGATTTTTTTTTTCTTTGGTATTTTGTCCAGATTGCTGCTGCGAGCCGCAAGTTGTGCACCCCTAATATATATATATATATATTATTACAAATAATCTATATATATCATAACTATAAACTGCACAGACACATTAAATTTACTTGAAAAAATTCAAGAAGAAAGCACAATGATAGATAATAAGGAGATACAATTAACTACACATGCATTTTATTTGTGCTGCGGTTACTTAAACCAGATCTAAGTGAACTCACATTAAAAATATCTCAGTCACTAGGAAAAATATTTGTTGCCACTTAATATAAATGACTAAGAAGCATTGAAGATTTAAACTTTTGCTCTTAATAGTGTCATTTTTCTAAACATTTCATATATACTTTTCGCTAAAAAAATAATTTTGATAAAGCATTACATTTTTATGTAATATAAAATAAAAAAAATTTAAAAAAAAAAAGTGGCTGAGGGGCACAGTTGGTTTGTCGTCGGCCTTCTGAGCCCAAGTCTGCGGGTTCGATCCCAGGCCCACACACTGGATTTTCAGGATGCAGAAAATCCTCAGCGGCCATATCATATGATTATGTGGCATGTAAAAGATCTCTGGCTCTTGGCATTTCTGGCAAAATTAAATTCCTAGTGCACTTTAGTGGTGGTCCTGAAAGAGTGGATACCACTTCTGGAGAACGCACTAGGTCTGCTCATGTGTGAGCACTTGTGCAGCTCATTAGAAATAAGAAAAACGTAAAAAAAAAGACTTTCAGTAGATATCTATTAATAAAAAGTAAACCTGAATTAAATTTGAAAAAATAAAATAAAAAAATTTTTAAAATAAAAATCTTAAGCTTTTAGGCACTATCAACTTATCTCTGATATTTTTTAAATTTTTTTTTTACATTTGCTGATTTTCCAGATTAATAAAAAATTATTTAGATTTTCTTTATTCTGTAGTGTCCCTGTGTATTCTTTTTTTCTTTCTTTAGTTTGCTTTCAATAAAAAAGGCATAAAAAAGAGAAAATTAGAATTTAGCTATTTTTTTTTTAATTTTGGAAAACAAGATAATTTAAACTGAAAATTATTTAATAGCTATTCACATAAAAAACACAATAATTACTCTTTCCACTTCTGCGTCCGGATCCGGATGGCCTTCTTCTACAAGCTTTTTTCGAAGTTCATCAAGTTCTTCTTTTTCCTTCTGTCTGTCAATCATATCCTCTTCAATTTCTTTTTCCCGCTCTTTCATTCGTCTAACCAATGCACTTCCCCTTAAAAAATATCATTCTTTTTAAATATCCTTTTAATGATATGGTAGTTTGCTAAGTAAAAAACGAATATTTCAGTCATAAACTACAGCCAGTTCAATCAGATTAGATAACTTGAATTAAATTAGCTGTGATTTATTTTTAAATTAGATAAAATTCTCCAGAGCTGAATTACACCTATAATGTTCCGCAACAAATTTTGATAACTGCACATGCTTGGTGAATATCAACAAAAATAAACAAAATTTTAAATAGTTAACTTATTGCCATTCTTTTAAGTGACGGATAATTTTATTTTTCAAACTAAAATTGGAAAATAAGTAACCATAATTCGTTAAACATCAAATTGCATATAAAAGCTTTTAAAATAAAAATTATTTGACAGTAAGCAATATTTTAAATGCAATTTGGTCATAAATGTTTGTTTCGACGTTTGCATTAATAGTGTACTTCAAGCACAAACTGCTCTGGAGAGGATTTGATATTTCTACGAAAAATTTAACAAGTTACTAAACACAAAACACTACTTAATTTCGAAACAGTGCTTATAGAGACACACTATTTCTTTTATTATTTCAATTTCTGGGAAATGACAATTAAGAAACATGTGTTTTACTTAATTGCCATACTTATTTAATTGTTAATACTATGTGTGAGATAATTTATATATAGACTTATCTCATCACTTAAATTAAACCTACTAATCTTTAATTCATTTTAATATAAATTGGCTCACTGATGCACTGATTCATTTAAATAGAATACATATTTTTTAAGCTGTTAATTTAACAAGAAAATTAATTGCTTTAAGTACTAAATGCTTCATATTTACATGAACTAGTAATATATTTTAAATAAAGCTTTTGCTAATGCTGAGCTTTTCTCATTATGTGTTTAATGACTATAATAATTAAGATTACACAAATTTAAAATAAAAAAAAGTTAATAAAATTTCTTAGTGGCAATAAATATAGTGAATAAAGCATTATTTTAAAATTGGAGATAATGTTAAAGAAATTCTTACTTAAAATACTTTGGATCATCCTTTTCATCATCATAATCTTCTAAAAACTCTTTTAATCTCCTTGCTTCTTTAGACTGAAGTAAAAGTATAAACATTAAATTTTAAAATAGAGTAACAAATGCCAAATGCATATAAAAATAAAATTGTAATAAAATTAAAATACCTCATCTTTTCTCTGTTCCTCACTCTTCATTTTCTCCTTTTCATATTCTTTCAATTTTCGCCTTTCTCTCACTATCCAATTTCTAAGTCTCTTTAAAGAAATTAAAAAAATAATTTATGTTAAGACTTATTTTAATAACAAAGAAATAATTATTTAATTTATATAATCAGACATGTGATTGCTGGAAGAATAAATTATCTAAACTTTTTTCTATTGAACGTGTAGTTTATTTTTATAGGGCTTAATTTTTTCTTTTCTTTCATGAAAATCGAAGATATTAAAAAGTCAGTAGTATCCACAAAAGTAACACACATTTACAAAACTTAATGAGAATTTTTTCTTTCTTTTTTATTTAATAAAATTCTGACCAACTCATAAAAGAAATATACATATATTAAAAAAAAAACTACATATTCCTCCTTTTTAACACTTTGCTAGCTGTCGTCGTATTGTAAAAACCGTGATATTTATTATGGCAATAATTGAAAAAAGATTGATGAGAGGAGAATGCGCACTTACGACAAAATCAAATGAATTTAATTTAATGAATACTTCAAGATTCAAGTATTGTAATAAATAATATATATAAAAATATCAAGATTTTAAATATGTGAAAATCAGCAGTGATAATTGCAGGAAAATTGATTGATTTATTCGATAGAATTATTGCGTCAAATTGTGAATACTTAGGTGCAAAATTTGAATTTTTTGTATCATAATAAGGTTGGACTTTTAAAAAAATCATGAGGAAATCTAGAGCAATTACTGCAAAAAAAAAAAACTTATGGAAATGTCGAATGGATTTAGAGTAAGTTGAGAGTGAAAAAAAGGTATTTAGTCAATTGTACGATTTGAGTTTCTAGTGTCTCAATAATATCAGATGAAACGATTGAGATTTAAAAACCCACTTAGATATCTGTAGTGATTTTGCAAATAAAGATTCATAAAATCTCTAACTCTAAACTTAACTTACATGGGGCATAACAGGATTACTTTTTCTCTTTTAACTTTATAAAGTTATTATTTCAAATAAAAGAAATTTAATATATATACATAAATGCATGGAATAACTGAAAAAAGATTAATGTTAGAAGCATGTGTACTTATGATGAAATCAAATGAAATCGTTGAATAAAGTGAAAAGTCAATAAGTGACAAGTGAATAAATGCACAAAATAACTATGGTGTGACGCAATAATAATGCATAAAAAAGATAGGGTTTTAAAAAGGGGGAGAAAAGCAGAAAATTTGTGGCAATAAAGGACGATAAAACGACCGGAATATAGTACGGATTCACAGTAGTATCGACGCACATTAAGTGCATCAAAAACGTATGCGCAATTCAAAATTTTCATGTCTTAATAATAATATCCGAATTTTAAAAACAAGGAGAAATCGACTGCATTAACTGCAATCGGAAAAAAAGAAGAAAGAAGATTGTAAGACTGATTTACGATGGTATCGAGCGTGTCAAAAAATGATTACAGATGTGCCCAGAATTTACTAGCCGTAATATCATATCAAAAAATAATTCTATTTAATTGTAGCCAAAAAAAAAGGGGTCAAAGATATCACATTTATTAAATAATTCTTCTGTTATAAACAGAATTTGCAACAAAATTGCTACTCATAAAAAAATATAAGTTTTTTAAAAGAATGAGAAAAAAAACACCAATTTTTCTAATGAATAATCTTTTAAATGTTTGCCCTTTCGAAATCATGTTTTAGATTGCTAATTTTATACTTTTGCTTGCCTTAGTAATTATTAATTCTAACCGAAGTTCTGAAATTTTTTCTAAAAGTTTATGGAAATTGTTTTTTTCTCTAACTACTCTTCGTAAAAATTTGTTGTTGTGTGAATAAGAACTTTGAAGAGAAAATGAGGGTGCTGGTAAGGAGGGATTGCTGGTACTGAGACAAATTTTTAATTTTTGAGATCAGCAGAATTCCACGAAAATTTTGTTGGAATATAAATTATTGATTCCCGGAAGTGCACGAATCAACTGTCTTGAGATTCATTCATGCCTGTACAATATCAAATGAATTGAAAAAGCGATAGTGCTATAGATGCATAAAAACTAAAAATGTTTACATTTTTTTGGAAATGATAAAAACAACTTTCACATCCAAGATTTAAAAAAAAATAATCATTTATACTAACTGTTTGCATTCAGCCAAAAAAACATTTCAATCACAATCAAAACTTTTGTTTTATAAAAAAATTTTAAATAAAAAAAAAGTACTGAAGTTGTAAAATGATGGTAATTCTTTCATACAAGAATTTGAAATTATTTTGCTAAGTAATTAAGTGTAACTAATTAATTAAAGAAACAGAAACTTACATCTTGATAAATGGCTTCTTTTTCCCTAATTTTTCTGTCTTGTTTTTTCTTTTCATAAGCGTCATCCTCATCATCTTTATCAAACTCCTTTTCTTTTGGCCTGAAAAAAAATAAGTATGACAAAATAATTCACAATAAAAAAAATTTTCATTAGTAATTTTCAACTTAAAAAAAAAAAAAAAAAAATTTACTAAAATGGTAAGACTATTTTAAGATGAGATACTGATAGATGAATATGCATATAAATACAGTGAATATGTAAATAAATTTTCACCTCTAACTCTCAATTAAAAATTACTGAATTCAGTAAAAAGTCTCAAAATAATGCTGAAATATTAAAAAAAGTTTTATGTATTAGAACGTGAATATTTAATGATTGTTTCAACTCTGATCACTAGAGAATTCAGAAATTTAACACAAGAACGGCATCATAAATATATAATGAGTTCAGATAAAATTCCAACTCTGGACAGCATATCTATAAAAATGAGACAAAAAAAAAAAAAAAAAAAAAAAAACCATGCGCATGTCAGATATGCATAATATACATGAACACCTTGTTGCAGAAAATTTTGTCAATTTCACGAAAATTTTATAGAATTGATAATTATATATTTAAAAAGGGGAAAAAAAAAGAGATTAAAGTTGTATTTAACTTTCAGGCTTTGAAAACTGAATTAACAAGTTATTTTTATGAAAATATTCAACAAATGTTCGAATTGAAATGTTTCTGAGCGACTTAGATTTTAAATACATAAAGAAAACCAAATATGAGGTAAAATAAGGTAAGTCAATAACTCATTTTCAAAACATGACTAAATTGGAAGAAATATGTGCAGGTATGTATAATAATCAATTAAAGCTTTAAAAAAAAATCTAGTCAATTAATTGCTTGAAGGATGTTTTTTAATGGAGATCTTGTGACTGCAGAAAGTTTTTCATTTTATTCAAGTCTGGTGCATGTGTTATCTACTTACTTTTCTTCAACTTGGTCTCTATCACGTTCACTTCTCCAATCATTTCTCTCTCTTGACCTCGAACGGGGTCTGTCTATTTGCCTTTCAGCGGATCTATCTCGGCGCCTAGACACCACCGGAGACTCACGAGGAGATTCTCGCTTCCTATCCCTTTCGCTCCTCTCTCGGCTTCTTCGTCGTCTGGAGCGCTCTTCTCTCTCCAAAGATCGTCTATCCCTATCTCTTTCACGTTCCCTGTCTCTAACACGGGATCTGGGTTCTGGAGACTCGTACTCTCTTCTTCTAGGCCGTCTGTCTTTGTCCTTATCACGTTCTTCTTCAGCTCTCTGTGACAAAAAATAGAAAATTCCTGTGAATTTTATGTCCACTAGGTAATTTACCAAAGGATATAAGAAGAGTAAATACATAATTTTAAAAAAATTGTTGGCCAAATAAATGACATGAAAACAAAGTTTTTACCAAAAGAACCAGAGTTGTATAATTCCTTTCAGTAGCAGAAGTAATGTAAAAACCCAGGATACACTGTGGAATATATATATTAAAATGTACAGAGAATAATAAGATTATGTTTTGTTCTTGAAACTCAAAATGTTTAGAGTGACAATACAGTACTTCCTATTCAAAACAAAAAATGAAGGGAAATAGAAACAATTTACCGTATAGAAAAACATACGCAGATTTTTCATTCTCATAGCAAAATTTTATTTGAGATCAACAGCGTAATAGGATAACTCTACAATAAATAGGAATGAACATTGCATTAGATAACATAAATTCAAAAGATGAGAATTATAGTAACACTTTGCTACATCACCATTAAATTAGTCAAGTAAAAAAATTTCTAAACTTTAAAAAAAAAAAAAAAATTTTCTTTGGTTATTTTTTTTAAAGGTAGAAACAATAAAATTAAAGAAAAAAAGTTTAAAAGTAAAAATAAAAAGAAATATTGATTCAAAATTTCAAGTATAAAAATTGAAGATAATAATGTGCAAAATACTCATGTTTTTAAGTATTTCTTTATTTAACGATATTTAGAGATTTTGTGAAAGAAAAAAAACTGAGGAACTACATGTCAGATACTAATTCATTTCCCTGAACTTTTTTTCTGTAATAAAATTTTTACCCGCATCTTAAATATTAAAAAGCATTCTAACAATTATATTTACAAGAATTTAAGCCATTTTTAACACTTATAAAAGCATTTACATTTTAGACATAAAATTATAGTTAAGAAATTTAAAATAATGAGTCAGAAACAGATAATTTATTGTCGCAGGCTTTAAATATTTTAGTAAATATATAAAATTAAAAAAAAAATTATTTTAACAAGCGTATAATCAAGGCAATAATCAATTTGCATTTTTTTTCCGGCCCAACGAAAACAGCCAACAATCAATTACACAAATTATTTGAATAAGAAAAGTTAATGAAAATAGAGATTGTCCATAAAAGTTCCTGACATTTAAAATATTCATATAAAACTTTAGAAAGAATATAGTTTTTATCTTTTTAATGAATTTAAGAAAAGTTTTCATATTTCTTAATAAATCAATTCCAGTTCAGAAAAAAATATTTTAAAATTTTTTGCAGATTTATACAAACATTTTGAGTATTTAAAAAATGAAATTAAAGGCAATCAGGAAATTTTATGACATAAAATAAGAAAAAAATATAACAAAATATAACTTGCAAAACTGTTTCGCATAATCCATTAGCAGAACACTGATCCAAACTTCTTCAATGGAAGGAGCAATCCCCTCTTCCATAGTTGAAAACTATAAACTTAATATAGTTTTTCAAGTTATATACGAATGACCAAAAATTAAAAGAGTTCCTTAACCATAACTTGAAAAGAAAAACTACTGGAAAAATAGAGCACAGACTAAACACTTAAAATATAACACGTGAAACAAGGTTTAAGCTGGATTTTAAAGATCTTTATCAAAAATGCTAAAATCAGAAAAAAAGAAAATTCTGAAATGCCATTAGGCTCAGAAATATGGATTTGTTTTGTTTTACCTTACTTTCATCATTTGTTTGGGGCAAATCCTCGCTTTCTATTATTTCAAAATATTTTTAAGAGTGTGCATTGCTACAAAGAAAATAACGTAACATGCAACTAAGGAGTCTGCAGAATAACGTCAAACAAGCAATTTGCGAGACAAATCTATGACTTCATACTGCTGTAAAATTGTGATGTCGAAATTATAGCATTTGCAAGCGGGTGGTGCGCCTGATACATCCAACAGAATGCATAGAAAAATAAAATCCTGTGTCTCCCAATTTCTCCTGCAAGAGAGAAATTTTTCCAGCGCGCGTAGCCTGATTTTTCAACAAAAAATAAGTACATTTTAGGCTCTCAAAAATATTTTTAATCACTTTCCAAAAAAAAAGAATCATAATTAGAATTTGTGTAGTAATAAATTTTTTTTTCATTGTTTAAAATTCTAAATTTATAAACATAAAATCAGTAAAATTCAATAACTTTAAATAATCATGATAAAATAACTAGTTTCCAATAAATATTGCAGAGAAAATCATGCATTTTTTGAAATTTAGAACGACAATCGATATGGCAAAGAAAAAATCACTTTTCAGAAGGTAGAAAATTAAGAACATAATACAACCACCAAATAAAAAAAAATACTTTTAAAAATCACTACACACAGTTTTTCTTTTCTTTTTCTTCTTCCTTTACAGCAGAAGATAGAGGGGAAAAATCTGTTGTTTTTTTTTATCCTTGTAGTTGGTTCATTTTTATACCTTTCTTCAAGGCAAATAGATATTATTGCCATCTTAGTTGAGTGCTATACTTCATAGTGATCTAACTCATTTGATAACGGTATTTTGTAAGCATTCGGGTCATGATCTTTCCAGAAGCCTGCTTACTTAATTAACTAGAATTTTGTAACAGACTTTAGCAACAAAAAAAATACAGTTTTATTTCAGCGTTTTTTGATGAGACTTTTCGTAGTTTACAAACACTGCCGTGTCAGGAGCCCTAATGTGAAAGTTAGCTAAATACAACTATTTAATATCATCCAAAATTTCAATACTTTGTCAAAATATTAAAGTACAAAACCGTTTATAAAAATTATTTATTAATTTATTTGAAAAATACCTAATAAATAAAATTTTATACTATACAGCCATAAAATCCTCCCAATCAAAATTAAATAAGAAAAGGAAAAAAGCTTAAGCAAATTTAAGTTAAAAATACAAAAGGCTCCGACTACACAACTCTCCAAGCATCTGTTGAATTTTGAAAATATTGCAATCAATAGATTAGCAAAATAAAAACCTTACCCGTAAACAAAAATTAAATTTAATATAAAATAACAAAATAGAGATTAGCGTTAAATAATGTAGCGCTATAAGCTAAATAAAAACTTATCACATAAAAGAAATCCTATAAATTTAAAAATTGATGCTTTTACGCAGAATAAATAAATTTTTTGAATTTTTTAAAAATTGCATGTGATTGCAAGATGGAAGGACGACAGATTTAACAGAGTGTTGCATAGTCGAGAGTTAAAAAATCTGGATTCCGTAATGCTTAGTTTTTTTAAATATTTTAAAATTTTCAGATTTTTCATATTTTTACATGTGAAACGAGGAGGCATTTATAGTATGAAAATTCTGTACATAAAAGAAATTTTTTTTTTTACAAAATAAGTTATATATTTTATATAACATACATGATATTTCTTAAAAGGACACCTGCCATATTTTTTAAAAAGAATGAATCCATAGTAAGAAATAACACAAATGAAAAAGAAACATAGGCATTTCATATTACAATTATTACAAAAAGTTTATTACAAAAGAAATAAATTAAATATCACTGAAATTTTTCATTAAATTCATTTTCATTACTGAAATGTATACATACCTGATTCAAATCATAAATAAGGGTACTGGAATTTATTTTCATATCAACGTACAAGACATATTTACAAGTTCTAATAGCAAAGTTTTCTAAGAAAGTATGCTTACAAAAACGGAAATGATTATGTAATTCAAATGCAGGAACGAAAAGCTACTAGGCATTTTTTAAAATTTAGCAAACTAAAATAATAGATTTTGTAGATGAAAAGCATTCTGTATCACATTGAAAATGTTATCTAGATTTGAATGTCTATTGAATATTGACCAAAATATTTATTCAAATTTATAGTGTTAAATGAGATTTGGGGAAAAATTTAATTTCATAACAATTAATCTCTAATTCAATTCATCTGTAAATATTTTATTGAAAAATTGCATTAAATGACTTCAAAAGTGTTTCGTGGTTATATCTAAGATTTAAGAATATTCAACTTAAGCGAAACCATTATTTAAAACAACATTATTCAAGCAGCTAAAAATACGACATTATCTTATGTGGCTTTTTAGTAAATAAAAATTAAACACGATACAAATAATTACTTAGTTACATTAAATTTTAATATACTGTGAGCTGATCCCATTAACTCAGTAGAGCAAAAATCTTTTATACACAATAGATAAATTGTTGAAATATATTTCAAAGACCAGAAATATAGATTATATGGACTGTATATAATGTAAAATAAGTATGCAAACTGGAAACATGCAAAGAACAAGTAATAGCAATATATGTCTGCCAATTACTGAAAATAGGAAAACTTATTCATCAACATTTAATTAGTACAAATATTGCCTTGCTAGTAGAATATACAGAATGGTTAGAAAATGAAAAGTGTTTGGAGAAGTTTTATTTAAATTTCTTAAATAAAAACGGATGTTTGAAGTTTTAACAATACAGAGAAATAATAATTATACAGGGTTCCCACCCAAGTTTAGTAAAAAAACAAAAAAATTCCCTGACTTTTCCAGTTATATCAGGTAAATTTCAATGGAAATCCATATCATATTTTATCTTTTCCATACAATTTTGCATCAAAAAACTTTTTTTATTTGTAATATCAAACATCAGATTTTGTGAGCTTAAACATATAATAGAATGATAATAGAAACATGAAAAAGTTTCACTAAAGACTGGCTATTTTCCAGGAAAGACATAGGAATTTTCAAGGGTTTTTATAAAAAATTGCAACTCTCCCTGCTTTTCAGAATTAAAATAAAATTCCCTGACAATTTTAGGGTTTCCAAGGTCTCCCTGACACATGGGAACCCTAATTACAGTCCATGTAAATATAATAATTTTAATTTAATAATATCAAACAACTTTAAGATATTTAGATTTGATATTAAAAAAAAAATTATACGTAGCATATTTTCCCTTTTAAACTGCAATGCACTGAATGTTTAGCTTTTATTTTACTTTTAAAAAAATAAGTTTTATAACTATAAACTCCACAGCTTTTTTCTAATAATTTGACATTTTCTTTTTGCCTGAAATTGGATTGTGTCAAATTCAAATGTATGAAGCCTCTAAACACCTGTCATTATCCTATCATAACATTATTTATTACTAATGCGAGAAGAATACAAAAAAAAAATGTTGTTCATTGAGAAGACTGGTTATTGTGGCTTTGGAAAATAATTGATTTTAAATTCTCTTTGATACATTAACCTACGCTCTAGAGGACTTTGCATTTATAGTAAACATACCTGAGCAAATTTTTAATGCTTTGTCTAAAAACATTGTTTTGTTTTTACACTCAATATAGAGTATTAATAACATAAACAACTTTTATATTTATAAAAAACAACACAATAGATATAATTTCATATAAAAGGATATGTTTTACGAAAAGTAGCATTAAAAAAAAATCCTTCAAAACTTATAAAATGCTACTTCCCATTAACAGGGGTAATTGTGAGTCCAACTCAAAAATTCCGAAAATTTCTTGAGTAAAATTATTGATGACGCATTTCAAAAAATTTATGCTTTTATAAATTTAAATAATTGATATTTTCATTACATGAAATTCGAAATAAATTATATACAGCATAATTTAAATTAATAATTTTGTAAAAGTTTACTTTTATCTCTTATCACATTTATTATTCTACCAGAGAAAATATTTACAAATGAAAGAGATGCCAAGTATTAATTCTAGCTCTAATATTTTTAAATAAAATATACAAGAGCTTTGATACATCAATGTGATCGATGATTTCTTGAAACTTCAGGACCTTGGATTTCTGGCTCACGGTTAGCGAAAAATCCGGACTTTTTTCCCAGAACACAATCATCTCTGCACTAGTAAAAAACTAGTTTTTATTCAGTTAAAACATAACAGACCTTTTTCTTCATTACATTAAAATAATTATACCTTCAAAAAGCTAATCAATTCAACTTATTGAAAGTCTTTGTGACCATATGTCTAGTTCAAAGGTTAATAACTGTCTTTAACTAAATGTGTAGCAAACTGTATAGATTTCACTTTTCAATATAATATGATTAGTACAGATAATGTCAAAATAGGGCATCCATCCTGATCCTGGTCAGTATTGACTAAAGCGCTGACATAAAATATCTTATGTGATAAATTATAAATTAAAATTCAATTACCCCAAACACTAGAGCAATATCCCTGTTAGAAAATTTGTATTTAATCCAAATGTAGACTACTCATCAAATCAATGCAGATTGGATCATCAAATATTTACCTAAATGAGAAAGATATTTTTATTCTGTTCTACCGCATGATTATTCACTAATACCTTTAAAATGATTCACCAATATACATTCAAATTTTTTTAAAAGTATATAAAGAATCTGCTCCACGGAGTTAATGTGATCTTGACTTCAATTCCATTCAGTGGACTTAAGATAGTATACTGAAACGATGTAATATTTTTACAGGAACTTTTAACTTATCACTAGAAGTAAATTTTTAATGTACTTTAACTTACCCATAGAAACCCTTCTAAAAATAAAATCACTTAAAAGTGTGTTTTTCTTTTTTTGTTATTTGAAGTTAAGCAACTGTGAACAACAATATCAAAGTGCTAATTTACTCACCAACTCCTAGATAAAATTAAACAGCGTAGCCCACATAGTGGTGTGTGTTGTAGCTTGTTTAGCACCAACAAGGTTAACTCCTAGTGTTTGGGGAATCATAAAACTTAAGCTGAATCCACTAGCACCAATCATTTCACATTCACACATTAATAACATGCATTATGAACGAAAATACCAAGGAATTAATTTAAATTAGAGTGCAATAGTTTTTCCTGATACTTATTAAAATCAAATCAGAATATCCGTGTAATGAATGATACGTATAAGAGATTCAGTTTTAAAAAAAAAGCGATTAGAACATTATTATTGAAATTAACAATTTTGAAAATATTATTTAGAAATACAGGAATCTGAGAATTGGTAATAAGAAAATAGTTCAATTTGAAAAAAAAAAAAAAATTATAAGATGCCAAATAGCAACGCTTTGTTATTAAAAATGAAAAAAAAATTATTTTTAAAATTTTGCACTTTGGAATCTAATAAAATAAAGATTTGCTCAATAGAAAAATCATCGGATTATTGTAATTGAAGATCTACGAAAGAGTCATCACTGAATATGACATGCAAAAGTTAAATTTTGGGAAAAAATAAGAAATAGAGTTATTAGATAAAAAAATATTTTAAACTAAATATTCTATAAAAAAAATATACATAATAATACAATAGTTACCTTGTAAGTATCTCTAAATTTATCGATTTCTCGATGAATAAGACTCTTTTTATCCTCTTCCAAATCCATTTCATCTAATTCCTATAAATTTGAAATAATTAATTGAATACTTTACATGAGAATAAGTTTTATAAGATTTAGAAATTAAATTTCTCCTTAAAGACAATTGTATATTGTTGAAGAGCATTACTTACATTCTTTTTTAGCCTTTCATAATCAATTCTTGGCCTTGGGCTGTTTTGTTCAGAATTATGAGTTTTTTCAGGCTGAGTTGAAACAGATACTGGAGATGATTCTTCTAAAATTAAAATGTCAAATTTTTTTTTAAATAATATAGATTAATATAACATATATTATATATATATATACATACAAAGATAATAAATCCCCAGCAGCAGAATTTTTTTGGGCTTTCTGCGACCAACTTCTCTAGCACTAATATTTTGCTTTAAGATACTTTTAATTATAAAAATTACTAATTTAAAGTAACAGAAACGTTTTGTTTACAGAAGAAAGTTTAGAATAAAAATGTAAAATAGTTTTTAATTGTAATTCTAGTAAAATAGGCAATATTCTTGCATTTTGTAGGCGAAAAAAATACGCTAATTATTTGCTCATCACGAGAATAGGTTTCTTTGCAAAAGAGATACTCAAATAAGTGTATATAAAATATGGTGCTCTTCTAAGAAAAGAAAAATAATGAAAGAGAGATTATCGTTTCTAGAGAGAACTATCTTTTAAACTTTCACGATTTCTGAATTTTTTTATTTTATATTATTAATTTGAAATTCTAGCTGAAGCCAGTCATTACCAATTTTTGTAAAAATCTCAAATGAGAATAGAAAAATCATGATAATTTCTTTCCTCTCTGATGCACAAGAAAGACATCGTAGAAAGAAAAAAAAAATTTCAAAAAATTATGCAGAAAGGAAAACCAAAATCTCCCCCTTCAAAATGAAATATCTTTTAGCAAAAACTCTAACGTTCTGCGACAATGTCCCCGTGTCGCTGAAATTCTGCCACAGGGAATAAATCAATAATATCATCGCTACTTTTTAACTTTTGCCTTAAAAGTGTCTTAAGAAACCTTTAATGGCATACAATTTAAAGCCAATATTTTATTTTAAAAGTTAATAGACTGCCAATTATTTGGGAGTTTTCTCTTTTTGGCATTTATTTTTATTGGGTACTATCATTTTTTACATTTAAAAATACTGTTTCAAAAAATGTGTGGCACATAATGTGTGGGAATAGATATAGAATTTACAGCTGCAAATTTATTTTCCTGTTATTAATTTTCTTGTGAATGTAAATGAATTGTTAGTAAACTACTGAAAGCAATACTAAAGCAGAAGTGCCATTAGTTCATTAGTGTTTAAAAATATAAAATTAAAATTCATGCAAAACTTGTTTTATGTTAACGAATTGATATTTTATATTGAATGTTAAATAACTATTATTTCAAATAAACAAAACCCTAAGAATAAGAAGAAACAATGTAGGAACCTTTTTCTTCATTGGGACGATTCAATTCAGCAGAATGAGCAGATATTAAAGATTGAAGGCTCGTTATAATTGCATTATCTCTCTGCTTAGTCATTTCATCTAGAGCATCATCGCTTGCTTCACCCTCTTCTTTATTATTATCATCAGCTTCTTTATCTTCCTTTTTACCATCATCCTGAGTTTTAGCAAGTTTTGTGGCTTTATATTCATCTAGCTTTTCTTTCGTTTTGGCATCAACTTTCACCTGAAGTTAAAATAAGTTTAATCATAAATATAATGGTTACATTTATAAAAAAAAAATACATGATTTTTTTATTTATTTAATAATTGCAATATTCTTTTTAGGAAACTCTTTATTTAGCGTAACATTAAATAATTCAGATTTTCATTAATCATATTTATATGTCTTTACACCTTGATTTGTGAAATTGTTCACATTAGAGGCTTGTTTAAATGTTAGAATAAAAACAAAATATATTGAATTTTCAAATACACTCTAACACACTAAGAAAATTTTATTCAGTAAAATAAGCCCTTGTCTGAACAATAGCAGACAGGTTTTGAAAAAGCCATCTTTTTTTCTTTTTCAAAATTAACTTGACCAAAGTTTTTTCAAAAAATTACTGTTCAAGTTGATTTTTCTCAAAATTTCAAAATAATAGTAGTAAGAATAGAAAGAATTTTTCAAAATTTTAGGCTGTTTTAAGAATAATAATAAGAAGAAAATAGACATTTTGTAAAATTTTAATTTTGTCATACCCTTAAAAAAACTCAGATTAAAACAAATTTCTTAAAATTATGTCTAAAACTAAAATTTGAAATGTGTCATAAAATGTAATCTTTGGCAACAAAACAATGCTATTTAGCAAGAGTTTTTTTTTTCTCCAGAGGGTTCATTAATGCAAATCTTAATTATTTTACCAATCGCAAGTGAAATATGCAATTAGCAACTAAATTTATAAGTTATACTCACCACTAATTTCTTTTCACCAAGTTCATAATCATGTAGTAATCTCATGGCTCTAAGTGCAGACTCTGGGTCGCCATATTCACAAAAACCAAATGCTGAGAAGAAAAAGTAATTTAATTTAATATGACGACAATGATATTAATAAGAAAAGATAAATCAGCAGTTTAAGTTATTTTAAAAAATTATTTTTTACACAACTTATTAACATTTTAAGTTTAAGCTTTTTTATTACTCTTTATCAAAAACACATAATGTCATTTTAAATTATATGTAACAGTTTTTAATGAAAATGTACGATATATGTATGATAAAATGCTGTTCAAATTTTTACAATTGTGAATTTAATAATATTACAGATGCAAAACTCTCATTTTGAAAAAGTTATTGTGATAGGAACTGCAGACTTGCCAACCTAGCTAAATTAACATTCAGGAGATTTCAGGAGGGGAAGAAAAAGGTGTATGGTATGCGACATTTGACACTTCTAAGGAATTTTAAATAAAACATTTATTAAATATAAGAATGCAAGAAATTTTACACACTAATAGAGCACAAATTACGGAAGAATATTAAATGGAACAATAGCAACGCAAAACTATATTGGGTAGGGGATGAAATATTAAATTCATAAACTCGTGCTGAAAGAAAAACAAAACTTCTGCACTAGCGGAAAAATCAGGTAATTTTGAGTTTGGCCGTCGATTGAGGTAAAATTCGGGAGTTTTTCGAAACAATTCCGGAGGGTGAGAGAAGAACATAAAATTTGGGAGAGTTGGCACGTATGGAACTAGCATATATCTGTCAGTTACATAAAAACGTAAATATATTTGTAGAAAAAACACTTAACAAAAAAACTAAAAAAAACATTTCCTTACCTTGCAGCTTTCCATTAGCCCCTTGAACCCTTTTCCAATTCAATACAATTCCACATCGCTGCAAAAAATGTGAAGAAAAAAAAGCATTAGGCATTTGTTAATATGATTTTGCATTAAAAATAAAGAATAAAACTGGGATATACACAAAGCACCAATGTTTTATAATGGCATGCAAACTAATATAAACTCATCGTCAGACATTTTTAAGACACAAAATTAGAAAATAAAAATATTCTCCCTAAGCGTTTGTTAACTACCCTGCCTACCTTTTGATCCCAAAAAATGTGTATGCTACAATGACAGGAAAATTTTAGCAATTACAATTTATTAAATTAAATTTTAGCAATTTCCTTAAAAATGATTCACAAACTTTTCCAGGGTTCCTACACTATTTTGAGAAAACAATATCCTGACTTTTGGAGGTTTTTCCTGACCTTTTACAATAAAATTCCTGACCCGCTGTTTCCCACTCCAACAAAACTTTTAACATTGCAGTTTCAATTAGAAATAATATGCTACTTAGTCATAAGTATCATATATTGAATACGATAAACACTTATATATTAAAGTGGAATTGTGTAATAGCACTTTATATCCCCAATTATATTTTTAGAAAACTTGTGAAACATATTTTTAATTATCATGATTAGATTAAACTTTTAGTGTATTTTTGTAGTTAGATACGAAAACTATTTAAATAAAAAAATTAAGAAAATCTGTTGGATTATGTAAATATTATTTTATTTAATGTTAAGTGGAACCAAATGAATGAGTGTCATCAGGATATAAAGGGTTAATCAAATCTGCGAGATATGTATCAGTATCCTCAAATAATATTTACTCTTAAAACATACGAGAACATTTGTTGCATTAAGTTATTAATTTTTAAAAATCACCAATTCACTTCAAACTGACTTTTCTTTTAAAAGATAATATTGAAATATAAAAGGAAAAAAAGTCAAGAAGATTTAATTGTATACAAATAAAAATGCAGATAGAAAAATTAAGCAAACTTGTGAGAAAAATAAAATCAAAAATATCATTTTTTTTCTGAGTATTTTTAAATTTCTGTAATACTGTAAGCTTCCGGAGAAACTCAGGGGCTCCTATGTTACATAATATTTCTCAACATATTTTGTTGTTTGACAATTTCTGAATCAAGAGCATCCAGTTCTGTTGCAGCAGTTTTAGTCAATTTAGATTTTCTTAATTTCAAATTCTTTTCTTTTATTCATTTTCCAGAAATTTCAGCCTTTTTATTCTCTTCGTTTCTCTTTTTTTTAGCTTCTAATGCATGTCTCCATTTATAAATGAAACATAATCATACACGCCTTTGTGAAATAATAGTCTTCATTGAGGTTTTCAACCAATAAGCTTTTATTGATTGAAAAAACCCCTTTGACTGTTGCATTACCACGAGAGAGGATAAGAACAATTTTTATAACCACCCACAAATTTAAATTTTTTTTTTCTCCGTGCAAATATTTCGAAAAAAAAATTATCTAATCTTTTTTACTGTGGATTAAACTCTAAGAAACTCTTTTGCTCTTCTTTTTTTTTTGGCAGCATCACAAAACAGTAAAAATTCCTTTTTTGCTTTTTCTGCTGTTGTTTCAGCAGAACCCTGTCTGTAAACTAGTTATTCACACAAAGAGCAATAAACCTAACAACCCTATGAAAAATTCCTTATCATTGGATGAACAGGAGGAAAATTGCTAACAGGACAGGTTCTACCAGGGAAAGACGAATGTTATTATGAGGAAACTACATATTTTGAATTACAGAGTTTTTCCTTGAAACTTTATTTTTGCCTGTCAGTCTTTAAACTAATTTTTTTTATTTTCCTAACTTGATGACTATGTAAGAAAAATCCCGACTTTTTAGCTTAATTTTAGAATATCCTGACTTTTGCAGATTTTCCTGACCGTGTAGGAACCCTGTCTGATTTAAAATGTGTGCTTAATTGAGATGCATCTATTTGACAATTGTTAATAAAGAGCCATGCAAATACTACATTACACGGATAAGACACAGGGATTTTCTAGCTTATTTTTGTTAACATGAAGGGAAGGGTATCAGCAAAGCTCATGATACACTAAAATCTCTTTATATTCAACCCATATATCCTTGCATATTGCAAAAATAGTATTAATTAAAAAAATAAGAAGAAGAATTCCATCAGTATAGCAAATGGGAAGGGAAAGCTACATTTACCTTTTCAACTGACAAGGATGTCCGAAATCACAAAATATACCTGAACACCAACAGAGGCTCAAAATGTAAGAAATCAGCTTGCTAGGTAAGTAAAGAGAATTAGTTACCTATCATATTAACCTGTACAACTCTCTTGGCTAACAACAAGCTGTTGCAGAAATTCTTTACTTTAATAATTAAACAGATTCCAACAACACGTTATAAACAGATAAACTTAATGGGAAAATGTGTATATTTTTCATGATTCATTTTGGCTTAACAGTTTTGATCTGCGATACAAACTTTTTTTTTAGGAACACATTATTTCATAACAGAAGAAATAAAATATGTAATAATAATAAAGCATCCATAAATACAAAAACAGAAATGAATTCAAAATATCTCGCACTTACTTGCAATATTTGTCTAACTAAATTGTCAGGGGCTCTATCAGTAATATTGCCCACAAACACAGTGACAGGTGGTCCTTTTGGTACTTCTTGCTCAACATGATTCTAAAAGAATATTAATGTTGTCTTTCAATAATTTATTAAAAGAAAAAAATATAAATTTTTTTCTTAATTAACTGCAACTACTGTTTTAAAAATGCCGTTACTACAACTACTTTTTCGAAATGCTGTGATTACAAACTACTTTCGAAAAGTAGTTTCTATTGAACTACTTTTAGGAGACTAATTTTGCTGGAGAACTTAATTTACATTTATGTTCAAAATGGTTTGGATTAAAAAATTGTCTTATAAGGAATTGTTAAGAAATATTTATTCTTGGAACTATTCAGGAATTGTAAAAAAATATTTGTTCATAAGCCAGTTTGTCATTCCAAACCATTTTTTACGAATATGTTCTTGAAAGCGAATTTAGAAACGTTACAAAATTATTAAATATTTTTCGATTTTGTTAAGTGTTTAATGCTATTTTATTTCTTAAGAAATAAAGTACATAAAAACTACATAGAAAATATATCTTCACTTGCATTGGAATAATATGCACATATTCTTTTCGTATTTTCTGAGTTTACAATCGCATCTAAAGGTACGGCTAAAGTGATAAATTAACTGTTATTCGTAATGGCTAGATTAAGGGAAAAAAACTTTTTGGCCTGAAACATCAGACACAATTAATGCTCAGCCACAGGGGCATTTTCATTGCGTACCATGACAGACCTGCGATTTGTACCAATCAGATAAAAAAAAAAAAATGTGTTTGTAACTAGTTTCTTTACTAAACTAACATTAAAAGTAGTTGTCAGGAATGCCTACAAACCAAATTTTTTTTTTTTTCTGTATTGCACTACTCACTATAACACTTCTTTTTAAAAGTAGGGCACTATAGCAGTTTAGCTAGTTGTAGCACACTTCTTCGGACCACTGTTCAAAAATATAACAAAACAATAGCCTTTTTTAGATTACCCAGGTTTCATACATAAAGTTTGTAAAGAACACGGAATAAAATAAGTTAATAGAGGAAACAAACAAGTTTACTAAAAGTGTTTAACATATTTATAGTCAATTATGATTTCCTTGGTGACTTGCAAGCTTCAGCATCTAATCCTAAAGTAAGTTGCTAGTTCTAATATGCATCACGCAATTTATTTTTTCAAGGCAATAAAAATGATCAGAAATATTTTAGAAGACAAACTGAAGACTTAGCGTTACATTCATTAACCAACCTAGCACCTGTAAGGCTTAACCTGATGTTTTTGTTGCCAATAAAATAGCTTATTCGTCATATTTACACAAGGTTGAGTAAAAGTCATGAAACTGCATTTTTCATTTTTTCCAATAGCTTTCATTCAGCAGTTAAACTAAAAAATCTGCAGTATCTTGCTAAATATCCTTTCTCAACTTGATGTAAGTTCATATTAATTTAAATTTAATGCATGTAATAAATTTACAAACAATAAAAAAAATATATATATAATTTGACAAACACTCTTAAATAATTCTGCTTTTTTGTTACTTGCTTTGCTACACAATGAGTCAGATAAATTAAGAAAAGTATTTACTAAAAAGGGGAAAAAAGGGCCATGTTTCTAAAAACAATTTTCAAAAGTAGGAAGCAGTATATACATATTGAATTTCATTTAACATAAGAGCGCTTAGCCTTCAGGCTAAATTATAGAAAGCATTATCTCTCAGATTGAAGCTTTGACACTTAAAATCTGCCAAGGAAAAAATATCAGTTTATACAGACAGGAAAAAATAGGTTGTGACTAATTTCATAACTCTAATTATTATTTTCGGTAATTAACTAGTTTATGCCAAGCGAGTTCCTCAAACCAAAAAAATTACATTTAAGTGAATAAAAATCTAATCAATAAGTTTGTTAAAAAAAAATGTCATATTTCAGATACATTCTTCAAATCATGAAAATTAAATTTTTGTAAATAAAAATCAGATCATTTGGTCAAGAATTTAAAAAAAAAAAAAAAAAAAAAAAAAAAAAAAAATCAGGACTGAACATTTATTTTGTAACCCTTTTTATTTATTAATTAAAAGTTTTAGATAGCTTGATCAAATGGTTGTTTAAAATTAATTAAACACATAAAAAAAAGTAAATTAAAACTTACTTCGTATTTTTTATACATGGGGGGATTAATCTTTTTAATATACTTCTGTGGTTGAGGCATGGGAATAGGAGCAGGCATAGTCATGGCAACAGGAGCCATCATCTATAAATGATAGAAAAAAATTATTTCTAACTATAAAAATATATCTTATACATACCTGCCAACATTGGAGAAATAAAATAACTGAGATTTTATTAACCAACACAAATTTGGGTTTACGACTACTGATTTTCAACTTCACAGCCTTGTAATTCTGAACCCAATCCAGAAAACAAAGGAGCTCCTGGATCAAGTATTGGGAAAAATTTGCATTTGTGAAGGACTTTCTGATGGAACTAATCGGCATTTGCTAAACCCAGATGCATTTGATAAATATGGAGAGGAAAACCACGAAAACCTCCCACAGTTAGCCAGACGACAAGGGGTCTCTAACCGGTGATCCGTCTACCACTGAAAATATTTCATGTCAGCACTGTGGTTGGTGAAAGCCAGATGCGGAATTTGTATTGACCAGTTTTCGCTGGGATTCAAACCTGGGTTTACCCCATCGGAAGGCAAACGCTCTATCCCCTGAGCCATCATGGCTCGACTTAAACAATTATCCCATAACATACTTCAATACTGGCATTAGCACCATCTGTTGAGGAATAAAAGAAGTATTTTTGCCACCAGTGGATATTTTATCACCAAATTGTTTTAACAAATACGGAGAAATTTGAGAATATACAGGTAAACAGAAGATAGTCGTAAAATACAGGAGTTTTCATTAAAAAAACAGGGGGACTTGGCAGGTATGCTTATAAATACTAAACGAATAATTTTTCATACATAATTTAAAATTAGGCATTACTTACTGGTCCAGGCATCATTCCAACAGTCATAGGTATCATACCTGGAAAAAAATCTCCTAGTTAGAAGGAAAGAAAAAAAAAGAATCAGAATGAGATAAATGTATATGCAAAAGGATAAAAATTGTGAATGATTCTAAATCTAGTTACCCATTGGCGGAACAGCATAAGGGGGTGGCAACATAGGAGGCACAGGCATGCCTGGTAATGGTAAAGGAGGTCCGGGAGGAAAAGACATCTTCGGTACAGCTTTAATGAATTTCAATGGAAAAAACTGTAACAGAAAAATCCTTCATTTGAATTAAAAATAATTTTTACAGATATATCTTAACAGCTATCTGCAAGTTGTAGTTTATCAAATGATGAGTTTTAAAATAAACACTTCAAGCATCCTATTATAAACAGTCAATTTTTAGTGGCAGATTTATCGTGTCGGAAATTGAGGAAAATTCAAGCAGAAAAGGAAGTTTTGAAATTTTTTAACATTAAATCGGAAACATTATAAAAATAATCCCCTTTGGAAATTTTCAGAGGGAAAAAAAAGCACAAAAAAATTTTTCATACATTTTTTATAAATTTAAAATGTTACATTTTAATATAATTTTACACGGATAAAAATTTTTTTTAGTTAATTTATCATTTATGGAACTAAAAATCATTATTAATTCAACTATAAATCTGTATTATCTGTTTATTTTATTTACCAAAATTAAAACCTAGATATTTTCTTAGATTATGTAAAACTTCGTCGAAAGCAAGTCGAAGCTATGCATTAATGAAGCAAATATGATTACTAATGTTGGCCTAATTCTTACTATAATAAGTAGACAACCTTGCATCAAATCTTTAACTTTTCTTTTCATACAGCATTAATCTATCATCAAAGTGAATAATAACCCCCTTCCCAAAATAAGATATATGACAAATTTCAAAATTTTACAAAGAATATGCAACAAAAATTACTTTTAAAAATTGCAACATAATTTTTAAAAACTAAAATATAAAATCATACACTATTCATCAGACTATATTTAAATGCACATAAAATCAAAAATAAAACAGATATTAATACAAAAAAAAAGTGAAACAATACAAGTCAAGATATTGGAATTGAATTTACACCATTATTGGAAAGAGATTAAAGTTATGAGAGCAGAATATCACTGTTACAGGAAAAGTTACAATGACGAAGACAGTTGACAACGAGACACAATTTTTTAAATTGAAGAAGAGATGCTGTCCGAAGAATGTGAATGAATTTCAATGAACTCACAAAGTGTTAGGAAGGAAATAAAATTAGTCATACAAATAATAATAATTTAATATAAACATACCCTATTACTACTACTAAGTCAATGTGCAATATGACTACAGATAAAATTCTCCCTGTTAATAAAGTACAAGCAATGATGAATGTAAATAAATTCAAAAGCAGGCAATAAAAACTAAACAAGAAAAAAAAACACATGCCATTCAAACCTTTGAAATTTTAAATTAGTTCATAAAAAAGCATTGGCAAATTAATAAATAAATATAATAAGCATACCCATATGCAAAATATATATATGCAATACTTCTGAGCACTAATAATTCTGAAATAAAGAAACTTTTTCACACTTTATACACAAGTTCAATATTCTTGTATAATTCTTATTTCTCTATTTCTGATTCAAAGATATAATCAAATTTTCATAAGATAATTTTATCTGTTAAAAAATTTTTTTTATTTACATATTCCTTGCTTATGAAGGCTGAGAACCTATTTGTGATAAACATAAATACTCATAAGTGTTAATTTAAAAACTGCTTATGTTACTATTGTTACAAAATAGGTCTTTTTAGGGAAACAACAATGCTAGAAATAACAATACAAATTCCATTTAATTTTTTTTCCTTATTATACTAGTAAAATGGAAAATTGATTAGAAGGTGATGTTTATTATTTTTAATGATTACTGCATTTTAAATCGTTATTTAGAAGGAAAAGGAGTTTTCAAATGAAAATAATAATAATAATAACTACATTCATGCAGTGTTTAAAAAAAAACTATTTTGCTGATACAGGATCAACAACAAGTATTCATATTTTTCAAAAATAATAAAATAGTGCTGTAAACTATCGTTATATAATTCATAGCTGTTAACATGGATAGAAAAAAAATCCAGTAGATTTTAAGAAATGTAAATTTCATGATAATCGTTGCATAATATACTAAATATTTTACACATATGGAATTTTATGATCATCTAAATAGAAACACTGCAATATTTTCCAGTTATGATTGATATTAAATGAAATGTTAAGCATTATATTTACTCATAATTTTGAATAATAATAGGCATTTAAAAAGGGAGTTCTGAATAAAACAAACTAAACTTGTGAACAAAAAAAAGTTTTAACTGGTTTTTATAAATGAGGCCCCTTTATTATCTATTAGCAATTCATATTTAAATATTCAAGCAAGCAATAATCTGTGTAAAAATGCTATTTGAATAGGGATTTTTTTTTTTAGGAAACTTACTCAATTTTGGGGAATTTTCTAAAAATATATGAAAACCAGGAGAAACTGGTAAAGTCCAGTAGAGTTGGTAGCTATGATAATTAATAATAAATTTGCTAATAAACACAAATAACTTGTCCCAAGTAGGTATCAACAGTGCTTTACTACACATATTGATATGTCCCCATAAATAAAATTTTGAATTAAATGAAAACAAAGCAAGATAATAGCAAAGTGGGTTCATGAACTTTAAGGGGTTGAAATGAGAATTAGCGAAAATGAGTCATTAGCTAGCAGAGGGAACAGAAGGAAGAAAAGAAAGTTAACAATTTATTAATAAATTCTTAAACCCAGTCACTCTTTCAACTCTACAAAACTGGACATGGGACACAACAAAATAACTTTTTATAACCTAACTCGCAGCAGGAGCTAAACTAAATTAATAAAAATTCCAATTAATTTTAGTTTATTTCATTTCAAATGAAATTCAATTGAAACTAAATAAAATTTTAATCGATATCTACGTTTCCTGCCATAAAATACTAGCTTTACTTTAAACAAATTAGCATTAAAACAAAGTACAGTACAGAACCCGTTATCCGGAATTCAGAAAACCGGAAAACCAAAAAACCGGAACGAAATTCGATAAATTCCCCCCCCTTAAAAAAAATTTTTTTTTCTCCTCATAAGATTTTAGGATTTTCCTTTCTTTTTTGAAAGATGTTTACCTTACCATCATTTTGGAAATAATCATTAGTGTATTACTTCATCGTTTTTTCTTCTTTTTAAGATTATCTCTGATTTTTTTTTAGTTGGGTTTAACAATAAAAAAAAACAACTTTTTGTAGCGATTCAGAAAACCGGAAAAATCAGTTATCCGGAATAGCGATGATCCCGATCGTTCCGGATAATCGGTTCCCTACTGTAATATAAGAATATAACAAAAAATATTTTTAAAAATTTATAACTTATTTTTAACTGAAAATTTTGTTTTGTAACATTTATTAATGATTTTCAAAAATATTTCCAGTAATTTTCCTAAAATAGGCTCGATTGTTTGAAATAAAAGTAGGAATTTTTCCTGAAAAATTTGTATATTTGCCTAAACAGTCTACAGAAAAATTTAGAATAGATAATTGAGATTGGAATTGGGCTAAAAAATAAGATTAGTAATGCCAAAGAAATAATTTATGAATATGACTAACAAAATTCAAACTTAAAAGAAAAGCAACTGAATTCATTTCAAAATACACAACAATCCAACTCTCAAAAATTCTGTTACTATTCATTCAAAATTTACGCACAAAGTAAAGAAACAGATAAGAAAAACTAAATGTATGCTAGGTGTAAGCATTTTTTTCCACAGATTTTCTAAGATAAAATTTTTTATACTGGTTAGCATCTTATTTCTACAATAATCCATTTAGTTCAAAAATAATACTAAAAGAGAAAAATGCTAATCTAAACATAAAACAAAAAGCATTTAATTTAGCTTAGAGAAAAATAAGAAAAACAAAACATAAAAATAACAATAAAATCAACAAAAATTAGAATTCTATAAGAGTCTGTAACAATTACTATAAGATAAGCATAACAAAATGGAAATGCTAAAAACAGAAATTATATTTATGAGGAAAATTAGTTAAAGACTGTTGTGTAAGAAATAATCAAATAAGATAAATTAATATAATTTGATTATTAATAATAATCAAATAATATAAATTAATAACGTACACAAAAGTGGCTAAGAATAAATACGTAGTTTATATTATAATTTAAATGAAAAATGCAGTTTTTTTTATTATAAACTTTATAAATTGTTATAGTGAAAATTTATTTAACTCTAACTTAATTGCAATATTTTAACAAAAATAATCACTATATTCAAATTATTTTACTTGATAATAAAATAAGATATCTGAGAACTTCGGGTGTAAAAAAACTTGAACAACTTAAAACTTTAGTTAAAAGTAAATAAAATATTGATAATTGATAGTAATAAAACAAATAAGTAAAAAAATGTGCAATACTTGAGAATTTTAAGGAATATAATTTCAACGCAAAATACAGAGAATATTTCTTAACTGTTCAAACCTTAATAATGGATCCGTAATAATTAATAGATGAATTAATAACGGATTCGCAATAATAAGTAAATGCATTCGCAATAAGTGCAATTTCCATTTTTCTTCTTTTTTTCAGTTTTACTTTATAGTATTATTAATAAACAACATGCAAAATAAAACAATAACAATCAGGAATTTTTTTCTCTTTTAAATAAATAAGTTGGTACACAAGGAATGCCGATAATGATATGAACTGATTTCAGTTTCCTCAAATAGCACAGATAAATCATGCAATCTTACTTTCTTTTTAGTGATTAGGAAATTACAATACACAATATATTAATTTCACTAAGGGAGAATCTAATTTTAATATAGTAAGTAAAGTTTCAATCAGGAAAAAGTGCTTGATAACTGCAATAAAGCATATCGAAACAAGAAAAGCATGCAATGTTTTTTGGATTACTACCATACTTACCACTTATATAGTAGGAGGTTCAATTTCTTCCATATATTTGTAGGCAATTATTGTTGAATTTTAAAATCATTATTTTTTAAATGAATATTCATATAGTACTTGAAATCCAGTGCCTTAAATATCTTCTTTCAAAAAAATACATAATGAGTAATAAAACATGTCACTATGTAAATCAAGCGCAGCTCTATAATACAAAACTAATTTTTACAGATAATCTGAGAGAAAAAGTATTGAAAAGGCAGAAGTCGTAAAAATGAAACTTGCAGAGGTGATACACGCTATGTGACTTAAATGAACACAAATTATATTTAGTTTAAAAAAATTCTACACTAACTTCATCTTAAGACTCGCTGCCTATTTCAAGTTATTAAAAACTTAACATAATTTGATTGTAACTCCAGAAAAACTATTCTATCATGCACAATTATTATTCATAAATGCAACTATTCAAGTTAATTGGATTTTAAAATTTTCTACAAAACGCCTCTTCAGTGCCACCGCTGTTTAAAAAATTTTTTTATATAAAAAAAAATAATTTTCCTAAAAATAGCTCAATGCCTTAACAAAATTGTTAGCTAATCTCTACATTTAGTTAAAACAAGAAAAATAATCAAATCACAAGCTAAATATAATAAATGGAGTGGAGTCAAAGCAAAATACAATAAATAAACAGTAGGTGTGTTAAACATAATAGCAGTGCACATTAATTACTACATAAGTTAAGTTCATAACAAAAAAAAATCTCAAGAACATTTTCTTTCTTAAATATTTTCATAGCTTCTGTCAAGACTAAACTCCTGTTTGTAATAATTTGAAGTAGAAAAACTGATAATAATCCTACACAAGGTTTAAGCCATCCTCACAAACATAGCTGCCAACTCAATGTTTTTTTTCTCCATTAATATTTCTAACTTAGAAAATTGTACTAAGAAAATTATGTTTTTATTAATTAACAAGAAAATGCTTATTTCATCATTCAAAAAATTACAATTAATAAAAAACTAAGCTTCAAATCAACTTGCATTAAAATTATTTTGATGTTCATAAAGAAAGGGATCTCTAACCTTTTTGTAAGAATGAGGCATTACTAAGTACAATATAAATTTTTTTTATTTTGATAAAATGAAACATGTTTTTCAATTGCACTTAAATGGTACTTTATTACAACAAATGCTTGCGAGTAACGTGGCGTCTGCTAATCAAGTCCATAATAAAAAATTTTAAGTTTTAAAGCTGTATAAAAGTATAAATTCGAACAAATTGTTAAAAAAACTAATTACAAATAATTTAGAAATAAATAACTGAATAAATATCTCTGTAAAAAATAAATAGTACAAAAAGGTT